CTAATAATTTAATGAAACGTCAAAGCTTCCGCGCTTTACGCGGGGGGGGGGGGGAACTAAATTCAAAATTACATCTTATAAAGAGGCGAAAAAACAATCCTGATAGGGTTATAAGCACATTCTCATAACGAAAGACTGAAATGGCCTTTGATAAGTAACATAATTATATCATTTATAAATGCGAGCAAGCGTAGCGAGCGAGCTTTGGGGGAAATTGCTCTTAGTCGCTTTAAATTAGGGGCACGTTTAAGAAAAGGGGACACCTATCGATAGAGATAAATTAAGACACTATTAGAAAAGAAAAGGAGCACGTGTCAAAGTACAAATGGTAATTATCAATGGTGAAAATGAAGCACTTCTTACACCTGGAAAGAGGCACTCACCAGAGATTAAAAAAGACACTTGGGAAATGGGATTTTGATGACGGAAATGTGGCACCCATCATATTTTGATAGGGGCATTTATAAAAGGTAAACAGGGGATATGTCCCTTATTAGAAAGGAAAATGGGCACGTATCGTTGTTAAAAGGTAAATTACCAGAGGTGAAAAGGGGCACTTATCACACCTGAAAAGGGGCACTTATAATAATGGATAAGGGGGAACGATCAGATTTTAATAAGGGCATTTATCGGAGGTGTAAGGGCGCTTTTATTAAAAGGGGGAAGTAGCTTTTATTAAAAAGAAAAATAGTCACATGTTAATAAAACGGGGCACTTATCAAAGATGAAAAGGGGCACTTATGAGAAGGGGAAGGGGCACTTATAAGAAGGAAAATGAGCGTTTATTAGAAAAGAAAAGAGGCACGTGTCAAAATAAAAGGGGTTGTTATTAGAGGTGAAAAGTGGCACTCATCAGAGATGAAAAAGAGCAATTATCGGAGGTGAAGGGGGCACTTATCTGAAGTGAAAAGGAGTAACTTCTCGTACCTGAAAAGGGTCATTTACCAGAGATGAAAAGGGGAATTTGAGAAAAGGGGGAGAGCGCTCTTATTTTTTTAATGGGGGAATTTATCGCAAGGAAAAAGGGCATTTATTAGAAAGAAAAAGGGGCACATGTTAGAATTAAAGGTGCGCTTATCTGAGTTAAAAAGGGATAGTTGTTAAAAGAGGAAGAGGAACTTCTTACAAAGGGAAAGAGGCACTTGCCAAAGTAAAAAGGGGCACCTCTTCGATTTGACAAGGGAAATTATCAGAGATGAAGGGTGCACTAAGCAAAAGTGAAAAGGGGCACTTCTCGTACCTGAAACGGGGCACTTACTAGAGATTAATAAAGGCACTTATGAGAATGGAAAAATTGTCGAAGGGGCACGTGTCAAAGAAGGGGCACTTATCAGAGGTGAAAAGGGGGGATTTTTATAATGGAATAAGGACACTTTTCATAGTAAAGTGGGCACTTTCCCCATGTAAAAATGGGCACTTCTTACAAAGTTAAAGGGGCACTTTTCGTATGTAAAAGGGGGCCTCGGGAAGGCCGCCTCTGATGCGGATTATTTAAGGCAGTCACCTTGAATCGTTTCTTCCGCCCTCTTGAAACCGTTTCTCTCCCTCATCATCAATTCTCTTTCTCTTTTCCCATATAGACTTTCTTCTCGCCTCACCTACCATCCCAGTATAGCTTCCTTAAGTGAGCTTCCAAAGTGATTACCCAACCAAGTACCAAGTTATCTCTCTCTCTCCCTCTATTTCTCTTTCTTTCTCTCTCTCTCTCTCTCTCTCTCTCTCTCTCACCGTACAATCACACACATTATACACACGACCTAACCAACACACACCGAAACACATCATGCACACACGTACACAACACTTTCCTTGATATGTGATTTGATTTGATTTTGATTTGATTGTATTTATTTTCCACTCAAATATCAAAACTCAAAATAACACTAGAATTTAAATCGTCACGAGGACGATTAAGGTGGTCTGTCTTCAAGTCTTATGATAGATTATAATACTTACTATATTGAGAAAGGGAGAAGTTATATAGACATGTAAACAATGATGATCATCATGATGATCATGATGATGATGATCTTGATAGTAATGGTGATGACGATGTTGATGATGATGATGATGATCATGATGATGTTGATGATGATCATCAACAGACCATGATGACATCTGATTGAAAAAAATGAGGGAACATTTAGATAGCATATAGTCTCAGCTACAACATACTCCAAAATCAACAAAAACCAAACGGAAATAACGGCGATATTGCTCGCAAAAGACAGGAATGTAGAATCCAGATTTGAGAAAAAGTCATCTCCCATAGGGACTACACTCAAAAAGTAATGGATCAAGTGATAATAGGGGAATAATAAAGTAAACATGGTTGTTTATAACATTATTTGTGATTCTACGTGTTTTAATAAGCAAAGGAAAAGGTACAGTGAAAGGTCAAAAAGAAAAAAAAAGTGAAGAAAAAAATTGTTGGAGACGCCCGGACTCGAACCAGGGACCTCGAGGTCGGAAGTCAAGTGCGTTATACCGATGTACCAAAATATTTCCCATAGAGATTACACGTAAACGGAAAATGAAATTATCAAATCCCACTTTGTAATTGAAATATGAGCATGATCCCGGCATCTGATCGAAAATTAAAGGGCACACTTACGATAGCATATTGACTCAGCTACAACATACTCAAAGCTCAGCGTAAACGAAGATAAAACGACGGAGATATTGCTCGCGAAAGACAAGAATGTAGAAACCAGTTTTGAGAAAAAGTCATGTCCCATAGAGAATACACGCAAAATGTGAAAAATTGACATGCCTCCTTTAATCGCAAAAATACGCCATGATGCCATTGTTCAAATGAAATATCGTGGAGAATACATTCGTAGAGAATATTCTCAGCTAAAACATATCAAAATTTGAAAGAAAATTGATCAATATTTACAGAGATACAATCAATTTTCCAAAAATCTGCTAACGTCATAATATGCAAATTGAAATTTTAAGTTCGGAGGCCATTATGATGACGTCATGAGTTAATTGAGGGTCAAATGAGACATGAAATCATATCTCCGACTCATGATCTATCTAAATATGAAAAAAATTGGGGGTATCTATCCATTCTGAAGAGTTAAAATGAATTTTGTATAGGCTTGTTTTTGCACATGTAATGTGGATAGGGATAATGCAGATCCGCGTGTGCTGTAAACTTTGACGGACGCTCATTGCGTTATCACTGGTCAGAAAAAGGTGAACAAGGTATCAAAATGCTTGGAAAAATGTGGTTGATATGATAGAGAAAATTTGGCGTTTCCATGTTGTAAAATGTCAGTACGCGCACTTACGCGCGGAAACGCGCGCAAAAAAGTGCTCTCGCGCAAAATCTTGAAAATGCTTACAATGGCCTGAAACGTGTGCAAAAAAAATTTGGAACGAATTTGAGCATTTTAAAATTTTAATGCGCGCGTACGTGCGCGTCGAGGTGCGCGCGCAAATTTTGTTGACATTTTTAGTTGAACTTTGACCTGAAGTTGATGTATACCAAATATGGTTTATTTTTGAAGACTCGTTATCGAGATATGATAATGACTTGATTTTTACAAAATGGCGCCTGGATGACGTCACGATGACCCCATGAACTTGAAAAAGGTTTCGGGAACTTGATATTATAGGGCCTAATGACTATCAGAAATTTGAAGGAAATTGACCAAGTCGATTTCGAGTAAACGTATACACAAAAAAAGTGTACGGAAGAAATAAAAATAAATAAAGAATAAAGAATAAAGAAAGAAAATTCTAACGAAATCAATAGGTGATCTGTCATCGACAGACCACCTAATAATATAAACCATTATATTATTACAATATACAATGCGTCCCAGAAAAACGAAACCGAGAATTATCGATGTTTTATCATAACTTAATCACAATTATAATTGATAAATGAAATATATTTGTAAAGCTTAGATCCTCCTCTTTCATTTGATGTAACTCATACGATGCAAATTTCGCGCATGAGTGATTAAAAACAATTTGAAGAAAGGGTACCAAAAAGTCATTTAGCAAACGGTATCTGAATTTCAAAAAGAAAATCACATTTCTAGCCGGAAAGTTCATTTTCGGCCCTTTCATATGTTACCTCAATCAGGATAAATGAGCCAGGAATAACAAAGATTTTTTTTGTTAATAAAGCTATGCTTGCATTTCCTTACTTTTATTAAACGAATCCGTTCGAATGGCTAATAAAAACAAAGAAGACGAAATACTTCATTCATGGCTGATCGTCAACGAAACTGATTTTGTTGTTTGTGCTACGGTAGGTAGCCAGTGAAAACGAATTCTTTTAACAAATTAGAGATGTGCAATGATTTATATATTTCCAAATACAATGTTGTATGGTAAATGGTCATTGTTGTATTTATATGTCAATACCATTGTCGTATCAAGATACTTAATAAATGGGGAGGGGGTACAAGTCTCATTGAGGAAAACCATTATGCGTTAAAAAATAAAAAATGTTGTATTGCCCCTAGCGACCGACCCCCAAATTTTAAAATCTAAGGTCGGCTTTTTAATAAAGTTTTTTTTTTGTTACCATTTTTTTGGAAGAAATCGAAATCCTGTTTGCGTATATAACCAAGTAGACCCGGCCTCATGTACAGTTGTGCACTAGCTAGAAACCAGCGAGATTTGGGCGACGTCCCCGGTTTTTATTTGTTTGGGCGACGGTCGCTATTTTGAGGGTTTACAAAAAATCCGACCGATCGACCCATGTTCTGGAACCTAAAGGGCAATAGAACATAATATTTCGTTTACCCAGTCACACCGATGAGACTGACACCAGGCGGGTATTTCACAAAGACTTAGATCGACTTTAAGTTGGAATTAACTATGGCAGCCCGTTCATGCCACTGTTTGCTCTCACCATTGGTCACTCGAATATGATCTTTAGATAATATTTTGTCCTTCAATAATTATTATCAAAAAGTGTAAATTCTTTAAAATTGTAATGATTTGAACGTCCCTTGAGAGACAATGGTGAGAGAAAACAACAGCATAACCGGCCTGCCATAGTGCCATAGTTAAGTACAACTTAAAGTCGATCTTAGTCTTTGTGAAACACACCCCTGATCAACTACAGACGAATAAACAATTCTAATACATCCGATGGCCAATAATCTGTCGGTTTAGATTTGGTATGCAGAGTTGCATTTGGGGTGTGACTCTGGTATAAAGAATGGTCTCCTCCTTGAATGTGAGATTAGACAAAGTGGTAATCACTGAGTAAATGCGGTATTGGTATGACCCTTGCCGTCTAGGTTGGTCTCCAATCCAACAGCGATTGAAGTAGGATCAGTGACGTCTAAGGGAATGTCTTTCTCATTATTTTCAAGCTCGGTAGATTTCCTCTCTTCTGTCGTATTCTCATTACTTTCGTCCTCTTTTTCTGCGAACCGTTCTTTACAGAAAATATAACGAGCGAGGGTGTAGATGACTGTGACTACGATACCCTCACAGAGACTAAGCAGGGCCATGATGTACGGTATTTTAGCAATAAGATCAGCTTCAGGCCTAGGGTAGAAAAATGCCAACATAGTAGTCGCTAAAAGACTGTTCTGGGCACCAGTCTCCAACGAAACCGTAATGGCCTGCTTCCGCTTGATGCAGACTATTTTCGAAATGATCAAGCCGGCGATACAGCCCATGAGAGGAAGAAGTGCTGAGACGGCATACTCTTCGACGGTTGCGCTCTGGTAGATATGAAGCTGGGCAGGTACTCCGATGCTAACTGCGATAAGGATACACATGGTTGCGACTGGTTTTAGAAGCTTGTCGCAATACTTTCTGAATTTGCTGGAGAATCGAGCAATCAGCATGCTCACACCGACTGGAATGATCAGATACATGATCTGGAGAAAGAGATTAAAATATGGCGTTTCTAGATTCTCTTCTCCGGTTGTGAGCGGACGAGCGTAGAGCCAGAGGTTGAAAGGCATCATTCCCATGGCCAGTATGGTAGAACAGAACGTCATGGTAAGACTCAGGATAAAATCGCAGTCGAGTAAAAGACTGAAGATATTGCTGAGCCAGCCACCTGGACAGGTTCCTACCATGATCAACCCCAAGGATGTAGAATTGTCCAGTCTGAAAGCCTTGGACAACGCGAAGGCTAGGGCTGGCATGAGAACAAACTGACAAGCCATAGCCAAGAGGATAGTCCATGGCTTCTTGATCTTACTCCATAGATCACTCCCTTTCATCTTACTGCCCATCATGATGTAAGAGATGATCAACCAGACAAGAGTTAGGTAGCTAAACACAGGTGTTAGGATAGTGGGAATTGTTGAGACCTTGACGACATAGGAACCCACTAATTCATTTTCCGCAACACCCACGTCGGTGTAGTAGATCTCGAGGGTACTGATGCCGAAGAAAAGGCCCTTGATGGATGAACTGATGTTGACAGGTTCAGTTCCAACAGATGCAGCTATGTTGATATCCGTCATACCTTGAACTGCAAAGATTTTTGGATCAGCACTTCTCAGTTGTAGCATTCCTGTTGTTATGGCTGGGTCCTTCTCACTGAGGGTAATGATCAAAGCCACTTCTTGTTCTTCGTAAAGGGCAAGAAACTTATCCGTACCGTACGAGAAGTTAAAGTGTGCGGTAGAGGTGTCCTGACCTTCAACGAAGGACAACGTTACCAATATCAGAAGGGTGTAGATGAAGTTGCGAGCCATGATGATAGCTATAAAGCAGGAAAGAGAGATGGGGGAGAATTAAAAAACAAATATACTAAAACAATTAAAAAGGACAATTACAAAACATTACCAAAAAACAAGAAACGAAAAAAAAATCCATATAATGTTAGGACAGGCCAAAAACTTTGTGAGAAAATATAATTTGACTTTCAATATGAACCTCTACTAAATTCCCTGCCTGGTCATACTTTCATACTCTCCACTGCCTTTGGGACATCCCAGCAGGATTTAAGATTCCAATGGCCTACAGGAGTAAAAGCCGACGATATTGAGTATTTAGGTCTTCTCGGCTATCTGACGACTGGTTGGAATGCCCAAAGGAATAGAGAACAGAACTTATATGACGTTTTAGTGTCCTGATCTAAAGTCCTAAAGGCTTATTGGCCCAGATTTTCACGAAATGGAAATTAGGATCTAGTGAGCTTTAGTTCTCGCGAATCTTCGGTCTCCCAGAACTTTTGCTATCTTGGCTCTAGTCCCTGACCATAGACAATGTCACAAATTGAGAACGAAGACTTTAAACATTCCAAGACAATGCGCCATATATTAAAATGTACTTTACGTTCTGACGATTTTTCTTAAGGCTTAAAATTACAACTGTTGAAAGGACCACATAAAAGAAGGTCTATGACATTTTGGTGTCATGGTCTTGAAGGTACACGATACAGGGCCATTTGATAAAATATTCTCGAAAATGAAATGTTAGCCTTGTGGGCCTTCGTTCTCGCGGACATTCGGTCTCCCAGAACTTTTGCTATCTTGGCTCTAGTCACGGTCCATGGCCATGGGCACTGTCACACATTGTGAACGAAGACTGTAAACAGTTCAAGGCAATGTGCCATATATCAAAATATACTTAACATTTTTACGAATTTTCTGAAAAAGAATTTTTACAGAAAAGAAGGTCTATAACAGGCCTTCTCAACTGGCGGCGCGCGCGCCACTTGTGGCGCTTGCGGTCAGTCGAAGTGGCGCGCGACCGGTTCCAAACAAATTAATAAAACAATATTTAAAAAAAAAAAAAAATTACAGAAAGAAAAATTCATAAATTATATTTTAAAATAAAAAACTCAGCAAAATCAAAAAGTCGCAGTCGAAGGTGAGCCCAAAATGTAAGCAAGCCATTTTGTTTGTTTGATTTTCACTTGATTTTGACATTTTCCGTCAACTACATATAAGTTAACTTCCAGTGTAGATTTTAGCCAGGAATTGTACTAATTAATTCACATCAATATGAAATTATGACTGATGTTTTATGGAACAAAAAAGTGTTAAAAATGCCACATCTGGGCCTTAAAAAGCCCTAAAATCCACTAGCTTGCAGGGGTTTCGCCCCCTGGACCCAACCCGTATCGGCTCGGTCGCTACGCTTCCTCGCAACACGGTCACCAAACATACAGGTTGGCACTTCAACCTCATAACATTTTGGTTTTGGCACTTCTAATAAACTAGTTGAGAAGGCCTGGTCTATAACATGTTTGTGTCATATGATCTTGAAGGTTCAATAGATTACAAAGGGCCATTTGATAAAATATTCACAAAACGGCCCATTTTGGCCTTGTGGGCCTATGTTCTCGCGGACCTTAGGTCTCACGGAACTTCTGGTATCTTGGCTGTAGTCACGGTCTCTGCCATGGACACTTTCACACATTGGGTACGAAGCATATGTATTTATTCAAGACAGTGCTCCATATCAAGAAATGATTTTGTTTTCCTGCAGGATAATAGAGAAGGGGCCGCTTCAAATACTCATTTAGGCGCCCAAATTAAGTGTGAAAATGGCTGAACAAGATTTGATCTCTTTTATGATTGTCATCAAGTATAGTTTATTTCGTCATTCGCAAAATGCTGTACTTCATTGATTAAGGTACACGGTGGAATATTTCTCCTTTTAATGCTAGGGCTTTATTCTATCCTAGGGAGCTCAGACCCGCATGGAACTAAGTCTAGCTACCAAGTGCATATTATCATCACGCTTTTCAGAATCTTAGTTGTAAATTCAAAATATTGCGTATTCGAGACATGATTATAAACATGAGGCTTGTAACATGAAACCCTGGTATGGGAATATATATAGCTCAGCCTTATAATTCTATAAGATATCATGCTTTGATGATGGTGATGAAGACGATGATGATGATAATGGGTTTAATAATAATAATAATAATAATAATAATAATAATAATAATAATAGTGGGTTATCGTACAACGCTCATGTCTGTCAGTGTTGACACAACCGAAACTCCACAATATTTATATCCCCGGCTTTAGCGTGGCTGCCAGAATGGCGCTCTAAAATGTCAAGGAACTAATTCCTGCCATTTACCCCACCTGGGTCGAGTGTTACCCATGTAGATGTCTGGTCTAATGACTTTACTGCCATAACAAATAGGTTGCTTTTGAAGTATGTTCACAACACGACAAACTTGAGCTTATCGAAATCATTCCTCCAGACGAGGAAATCATCAAATTTCTTTTTATATATAACCATGACATTTGTACATTAAAGAATTTTGATTTTACGGCACTATTCAAGGCTATTTTATGAATAAATTCTTCAAATTAAGAGGAAATTCAAGAATTACATGGTAATCATTTCCATAACGACTGAGTAATCACTTGTTGTGTTCGTTGGTTTATGAAATCATCTGCTCATCACAGAAAACCGCGAAATCTCTTTTATTAACTTTGGCGGCATTAAAAATCTGACATCAAAGACCAAGACATGTTCATTGATCCAATATATAACATTAATAATCTACTAGATGTTTGCACAAACTTTCGTTACTTGAAATTTACTCCTTGTGATCATACCTAATATGATTATACCCAAAGGACGAGTGGGAGCTGGGTCTCGATTTAGAACACCAATTATCATCTCATATCCAGATTAGCACCTTCACAAATATTTGAAACTGGCCTAATGATAATTATCTTATAAATTCAAAACGATTGCGAAGACTTTCAAGAATCGACTCGAGGGCAATTTTAATACCCCAATGTAGTGCCAATAAACATCATACTTTTAGAACACTTCCTTACGCGATGGGCAAGGTTATTGAAATTGCCAAAAGTTTGATTTATATAAAGTCTTTGCGACCCCGTTATATTTCGCTACTGTTATGAAATCAAAGATTCACTTTCAGCCCCCCTAAGTATATTCAAGAGAACATCCTTGGCACTTACCAGGGATTTAAGTACTGAATTTGGTAACATTCTTTTATAAAAACGGTTAAAATGGCAACGAAAATATCAGGTTTCAATAAAATATTTTTTGAAAAGTATACAGTTACACACCTGGGCCTAGGAAATGTCCTGGCATAGGCACCACCTCAATGTGGTCGCAATTTTTTTTTAATTAGAGAAAGAGAGAGGGAGAGGGGGAGAGAGCGAGAGAGAGATGGAGTGGACGGAAGTATTTATATGTTCCTTTACGAACAAGCTTTGAAAGGATTTTGTTAAATCTTGCATGCACCTCAGCATCTATAGGTAAGATGTTTTGAATGGTTGGAGGCATTCGAAAGGTCATGCTCCTACTTTCTGAAACTCTGTGCATGGGCAAATAGTTGTGGAGTTGAGGACCTAACGCCCATTCAAAACTACATAGAATACAAAGGCGTTCTACTCAAGACCTTTATTCATCACGTATTAGATGATGTCTGTGAAAAGAAACGCCAACACATCGGTCCGTGATCAGGTAAACCTGAACCTGGGTCTAACAAAATGATTATCAAAAAATAAAACTTATACCTCAGACTAATTTCCTTTGTTTAACCCGATTTTGAACAAAATCTTAATGTCAGCGTTTAAGTTCTAGTATAAAACCGGGTCATAGGGTGTTTGGTTAAAATCAAGATATCATCTATGAATTACCACCAATCTCCGTATAAATGAGCTAAAAACAACCAATGACAAATAATTTCAATCGTATATTTCCAAATGGACTTACCGAATGATTTGTGTCACAGGGGCTGTAGCTTAGGTTGATGAGTTGTCGAAGTCCAGGAGCAAAATGTGAGCCAGCCAAAAACCTCTTTCTTTTACGTCTCTTATGTCAACAGTTCTTATCCTCGATGTTCCAGGCCAACACAAGTTATTTGATGGAGCGTTTTATTGTGCGAGATATTTACCTTAATTAAGGTTCTTCACCAGAGAAAGAATTGTTCACTGATAAAGAAAGCAACGCTCTTCACTTTTTATGATGGAAGTTATTATATAGAGTCAAAGAGATTATACTCCTTCAGTATAGAGTTCCTGGTTTAAAGCATTTCTTCATGGCATTGGTTGCTCCGAAACAGCGAACATTGTTTTCATGGATGCGACACACAAAAAAGCCTCGAATAAAAGCAATAAAACGGATATCCCATTAAAAGCATTAATTGGTGTTACTAAGAACCCTGGATCTGTTGTTCTGATATTGTTATCATTTTAGCATGCAATAAACTGAAGAAATAATGTTAGTCTGCGTTTTTTAAAGGTTAAACAACCGCTTCATTATTGATTTGTATATGCTTTGCTGAATTTCAACATACAAATCAAAAGAATGTAAATCGAAAATTATGTGTTGTATACTTGTATACTCCTCTCCTTTCAATCTTCTTAACACTTCCAATGTTCCTCCTCTGAGATGTGTGTATTCTTTAATCTGTTTCTCCCCTTCTTTAACGTTTCATTTAATTTCAACTTCTTTATTTTCTTCTTTCAATTTTTTTCTTCTACCGTTGAATAGCTAATCAGCACCATATTAGGCAGTATTATAGCTATTTTAAAATAAATTTAAAGCTACCTACTAAGAGCGGACGATGTTCACAGTTGTGTCGTCATTCAAATATTCCTTGGTGATAAAAACAAGAGAGAGAGAGAGAGAGAGAGAGAGAGAGACTGAGAATAGGGGAGGGTTGTGCACGCATTCATGTTGTATCCCATCAAATGTTTTAAACTATCTTACTACCAGAAATTGATAACAAGTGTTATTAAAAACCGTTGGAAGACGTCCTGCTCATGAACCGTTGGTGGTGCCTGTATAAAGGAGTTTTCACCTCATGTGTGTATTAGTTGCGCTATATTCAATTAATTGCACTATTAAACTACCTCACGGAGTAGTGACTGTTTAAAATATTGAATATTCAAGTGTTTGGAGATTTAAAAAAAAAGGACAATCAAGTAAAACAAAAAAATGGTCAGGACAGTGTGAGAAATAAAGATACTAACCGTTCACACTAAAAGGCAAAACTATTCAAGAAGAATGTTTAGCAATTACGCGAACAACACCTTAATTAGTTATTTATTGCCTACTTCACAAGTTTAGCTTGTTCAGTGGCTTAAATTGGAGGTAATTAGAAAAAAGGTATACATTTACCTCTTGATTGTAAAGTCATTTAACGGCATAAATACCTGGCAAAAATAAGTCGGAGCTTATTTACAATCGATTGCACAACAATAAAATGCGAGGAAGGCGGAGCATTTTTGAAAGTGTGTGTGCTGAACAGGCTCGGCCAAGAGTCTCGATACTGTAAAATGGTGGGGATGGTTGGGAAGGGGCAGGACTCGGGGGGGGGGGAGGCAAGACCTGGGGAACAAGCTAGGACCACACCGGAAAATATAAGTCCCTTTCTTCGTTCTCTCAACGGGGTTGAACAGCTTTGAATCGTTTATTTACGTACTGGCAATTTTTAGATTTTGAAGAGGAGTGACGGACCACTTTGACAGACTTTCCAGGGAGAGACTTCCCCATTCCCTTTGAATCAAAGAACCTCCAGCTAGGATGCACTATTGGAAATTTGTATTTCATGCAATCAAGCTTATGCTTTGAACATCCGGAATCGCAAGACCAATAATGCAAGACTTGGTTACTTTTCTCAAATAGATAATGATACTCTGTTCAATAAAAAGAATATATTTTATAGGAGTTGTCTGTTGTTCTCAATCCCTTATATATGTCGAATGCAACTTATTTTTGATTGGAGTAGACCTTTGAATTCAGTGTTCTGATTTCGGAAATCTAAATCTGTTTTGCGATTTATCTAAGTGAAAAGGAATATGATTAATGTGATTGTTAGATCGTGATAAAATTATATTCGTTAGTTGTTCGTTATTAGAGAGAAGGAGAGAGAGAGAGAGAGAGAGAGAGAGAGAGAGAGAGAGAGGGGGGGTGGGGGATGAAGAAGGGGAGAGAGACAGAGCGACATAGGCGTGTGAAGAGTGGAGAAAGAAAGAAAGAAAGAAAGAGAGAGAGAGAGAGAGACTGAGAGGGGGTGTGAAGAAAGAGGGAGAGAGACAGAGCGACATAGGAGTGTGAAGAGTGGAGAAAGAAAAAAAGAAAGAGAGAGAGAGGGGGAGGGGGAGAGGGGGATGAAGAAGGGGAGAGAGACTGAGCGACAAAGCGAGTGAAGAGGGAGAAATAAAGAAAGAGAGAGAGAGATAGAGAAAGAGGGGGAGATGGAGGAAGAAGGAGAGAGACAGAGCGACAGAGCGACATAGGCGTGTGAAGAGTGGAGAAAGAAAGAAAGAAAGAGAGAGAGAGAGGGGGGCAGACAGAACCAACGAGAAAGAGGTGAGGATAATGAAAGAAAATGAGAGAGAGAGAGAGAGAGAGAGAGAGAGAGCATTTTGAAAGGTCGTATACGACTTTATAAGCGTTAAAGGTAGGCTTTACTACTTCAGCAAGAAGGGATTAGACCGCCCAGTGAGCCAGCGAGGTCACTGAGACAGGTGGCTAGCTCATTAACTCAGCTCTCATTTAACATAAGAAAAAGAGGATCATGGGGGACCAACAGGCACCGACTGGGGAAGTTTTCTATATAGAGGGAGCAAGTAGCTACAAGTAGGACAGTGTGCCTTTAAGTGTGCGTTAAGTGTGTTCATGAGAGTGTATTTCTACAGCACTAGTAGTCTACTTGGTTTGGCAGGTTTTCGGCTGCAAGAAGATAAATTGCATCTTTCAGTCCGAGTTTGAACGCTCTCTAGTTAATAGTTTCTTTCTTTCTTCCTCTATCAACATGTTACTGATTAACATCAATCTGCAATGGTGCTACAGCTCCGGCGTCATCATCTACAGCCCAAAGTGTGTTGCCTTGATTGGTTTCCTGAAATATTTTTAATAATGGTCTAGTCTGTACCATGAGGTGGGACCACTGTATTGCTAATGATCACAGTTTCTTTTGAAGGCACACTGTCCTACTTGTAGCTACTTGCTCCCTCTACATAGAAAACAATGCCTAATCGGTGACCATTGGTCCCCCATGATCCTCTTTTTCTTATGTTATTTGAGAACTGAGTTGATGAGATAACCACCTGTCCAGTGACCTTGTAAGGTAGTCTAATCCCTTCTATAAACTAGTGCAGATAAGCTTTAAGCGGCACAGATCTTGATAATGTTCAGCAATCAATAATGGTTGTTAATCAACGTCACCATATCGTTTGATACCCTACTGGTGTTTAATTTCCAAACCCGATACATGGAACAATGTTCCCATTTTCCATCATAGAATTAAACTGTATTGCCTCTTCCAAAAGGTCCCTTAAGCGGAACTACACTATAGTTGTAGCTACTTGCGCCCTCTATGTAGCAAACATAATATAAGAGGTACCCGTTGGTCCCCATGATCCCATTTTCCCTATGTTAATTGAGAGATGATTTGATGAGATAACCAACTGTCAGTGACCTTGCAGAGAGGTCTGATTCATCCTGGCCAAACTACTGCAGACAGTCTTTAAAATATAGGCCTAGGCCTACTTCTTCCCTCAGTAACTAGATGCGATTTATTTCCAACTTGATGCGTCAATGGATTTTACGTTTCTTCTTCACATTCTGTGATGTGGTAAGCCTTATGATAATTTTGGTTTTAAATATTCTAAATTATCGATATTATTATCATTATTATTGTTATCATTATTATTATTATACACTTGATTTTTGTTCTTATCCCACATCATGCATAGCTATGCCTTGTTCGCCTTGCTTATCGTCTGTTTGGAGCAAAAAGGGCGTTAGATAGAAACTTAACCGAGTTACATGGACGCAAATGCCTGACAATACAAACATGGGTGGGCATTGCCCAACATACATTATGCAACATACTTATTTGTAAAATGATTTCGGCTTCCACCCAACACCCATTTTATTAATTACCAGATTGGGCACGCGATCTCTATTTACTGGGTGTAAGCCGAATTTTCTCCCATGGAAACCTAACATTCATAACCTACTTATGATATAAGTGAATCTTACTGAAGGTTGGCCCATCTTATTTTCCCATTTCACTTCCCTTCATCTCCACATTCATATGTATTCGCGTCTGCCCATAAATTCACGCCAGCATAATCTTATTTCATGCATTCGATGTCTAAGCGATTGCATGTCCAGTTTCAGTGTCACTCCTACAGGCATTACTGCAGGCTAATGCTATTTCTTCTAATTTAATCATTTTAAAGCGATTCAGTTTGGGGTCTAAGTTGTGCTTTAAGTAAAACGGTTCGTTCAAAGAATACGGATGAAATCCACTGATCTCGACGTAGTACCTTTAAAGAAAAGATCAGTGATTTAATTTTGGCAGTCAGTGATGAATACGAGTCAAACATGAACAGCGCCAGCTATAAGAATAAATTTTATAAACTCAAATTTTAGCAAGCAACGCTCTATTCACTTAATTTATTTTCCATCTTAAAACAATGTGAATACAAGGGCAAATACAGCAATGAAATACAATTAAAATGGTAGGAAAAATTAGAGAGATTGCTGATGGGCAGAACCCAGTTATAACAAAATGGCAATTAACAATATCAAATAAAATCAGACCATTTGTTGCTTTGTCAATCATATCAAATACAAAGGAATGTTAAAATTCGTAGCATTGCCAGAAGAACAATAACTTTACATAGCTTGACAATCCAGAATGAGTGATGATCAATGATAATACATTAGGAAAACAAATGCAATATAAAAAAAATACCTCAGCCACTCTGCCGAACCGACAGATTATAGGCTATACGGTGTAATGTAATATTCCTGTTATTATTATTGATATTATCATCAGTATTACTATTGTTCCTGATATCTTGATTTTTTTAATATCATTACTATTATTATAACTATTGTTAGTATTACTATTATTAGTAGTAGTATTATCAATAATATTATTATAATGTTCTTGTTTTAGGTTATTATTATTACTAATATTAGTGCTATTAGTATTACTAATATTATTGCTATTTGTAATACTAATATTATTCCTATTATTATTACTTATATTATTGATATTATTATTACTTATATTATTGATATTATTAAAACAGTTTTTTAAGCATTATTATAACTATAACTGTAATTATTTTAAATTTTCATTGCTATTATTATTAATTTCATTAAAGTATTACTGTCTTTTATCATTAATGTTACTATTTGGTTAATACTGATATTATTATCTTTATTGATTTTACTATAATTATTACTACTTTTATTATTTTTATTAATAGCGTGAGTACTATCATTATATTATTCTTTACTGTTTCAACTCGCCTTTATTTTTAACCGATAACAGACCACATAACACCATTGAATACATATATTTTAGATATTCAATGGAAAAAAAGCATTTGTAGATACTAATTGTGTATAATTTTCTGGAACATTTCTTGTGTTTGCGTGTTTTTTTTGTTGTTGAGTTTTATGTGCCCGTCGTAACAAAACAAAATCAGCTTAGTGGTAAGGCCATTTTGGGTTAAACTGTTTTTCCTTTATTTGCTTTAATTATTCACCTCACTAGGTAGCATTGGGTAATATTAAATTGCAATTAATAGAAGCTAGACATTTTATCACTTAGCTTCAATGCAGTCTCCTATTTTGTCCTCAATGTGTTAGGCCTATTATATTAATTCCATTTTCTTTGGATAAAATATGTAAATATTAAAGATTAGATTTTTACAGAATAAAAATTTATATAACATAATCACTTCTTATTTTTCGTCATTTTTGAGGGGTTAGATTCTTCAATTATCCTTATTCATAAAGAATATGCTTACTTGCTTAAGTCGGGTCAACTGCCCGAGCTGTGATGGCCTTCCACACATTCCTGTCCAGCATGGCTGCTTTTACCTCTGACAGTTCAAGTCCCGTATCCTTCTTGAGTAGGTCTGTATAGGTAAGATGAGGTCTTCCAGGTTTCTTCTTCCCGTGTTTAGGTTTCTAGAGTAAAAGCTGAGATATTTGTTCATTGATGTTCCTACAGCTATGGCCTGCAAAACGTAGCCTTTCTTTCCCTAAATATATAGGCCTAGATATAGTCAAAATAAAGAGTGAGAAAAAGGATGACGTAGGAAAAGGGTACGAGGGAGGAGCCAATCAGAATGCATTCATTTATTTATTTACCATTTTCAAATAATAGTGCATAATATAAAAACTAAAAATATATTTCTGACAGAAAGATGTTTGACGTGAATCCGTTCGAACATTAACAAAAACGTTAACAGCTCGATTTTATATTGAAAATAGTATATGGACGGAAATTCCGATACTTTTAATATTCATCTTCAAACACGTTAGACCACACTGATAAATAACAAATTAAATATATATATATATAGAGAGAGAGAGAGAGAGAGAGAGAGAGATAGAGAGAGAGAGAGAGAGAGAGAGAGAGAGAGAGAGAGAGAGAGAGAGGGGGGGGAGGGGGGGGGAGGGGGTAATAATGATACTGAAACTGACAGACATTGAGTCATTCATTTGGAATGTTCCATGATTCAAACATCACAATCATATCCACACTGAAGGTTAGGACACACAGTCCCCAAATTGTGTTTACACGCCCATGTTCGTATACGCCCAAGTAAAGTAATTCCACACCCTTTCAAAGTACAATTTTTACTCAATACTAATATGTCATGATCTTTAGCAAGATCTAATCGATGTTGTCCTTCATTCACATCATTCCTAGCAGGGGCAGCGATTTATTTTCATGACCGGGGGGGGGGGGGGGCGAAATGCGAGGGACGGGGGAGCAATGGCGTATATTAAACAAAAACGTTGGGGGGGAGAAAAAAATCCGCATCCCCACTCTAACATTGTACATGCAGGCCTCGCGGAACATTTTTCATAGAGGGGGAGACTAAAGTATTTTATTAGGTAGAGCAAAGCGAGCATAGCAAGTGGAGCGTAAATTGGCGTGTGGTCCAGGGGCGTAGGCCCATGAAGCTCAGGGGTTTTAGGCATTTAATAACGGTCAGATAAGCATCCAGGGGCTCGTCTTAGAGCCCCTTGTGAGGTCAAGGGGGCAGACCCCTCGGAAGCTCAGGGTTTTACGCATTCAATCACAGTCAAATGAGCAAACAGGGGCCAGCCATAGGGCCCTTGGTGGGGTCCAGGGGGCAGAGCCCCCAGAAGCTCAGGGAACAACCATGCCATTTCAGCAAAATTTGTAAATCACTGGTATCGAGTTAGAAATAAATCAAGTTTGAATTTTATTAGGGGGTAACTGCCCCAAGCCCCCCCCCCCCTTATCATTACACCAAGGCGAGGGAGCAAAGTGAACGAGAGGGGTAGAGGTTACGGAAGTGACTATCCCCTCACAGGTTTTTGAAGTTTTGTTGTATTAACAAATTACATACTTTAATTAGCAAAAGAATAGTATAAAAACAAGCAATACACCCTTTTCACACTTCACTTTTCTAGAATATTTACTGTACACTTCGAAGAATATAATGCGGGGGAGCATAGCTCCGGAGCGAGAAGATTTTTGCATTTTTATTTGTCTAAACGCTGCACTCTAGGGCCCTCCAGAGCCTAAAAGTTTGTTGCAGTCTTTAGTCAGTATTTGCTATACACTTTTTTTCTCACTTCTTCAATTTTTCATGGGGGGGGGGGGGGGGGACGATCCCCCCTAAAAAAATTGAGGGGGTGTGTCCCCCCCCCCCCCCCCCCGTCCCTCCCCCCCCCCCCCCCCCCCCGGGATCGCCACCACTGATTCCTAGTCTTCAGAGCAATAAATACATTTTTATGAACAATTTCTTTCTCAGTGTAGGCCGAATCGCTCCAGTAGAATTCTACTTTATAGTTAAACTTTAAATACAATTATCAGAATAAAGTAAGAACAATCTGCGCCAAAAACAGAGAAATAGTTTTAAAAATTCATATAAATCCATTGCCATTTGTAATCGATAACGGAGAAAGTCAAAGGCTGTTGTCAACTCGATAGGGCAGCAATCAACAATCTTGTAAATATTAATAATGATGTTTATTGGGAGGTTCTATTTAACAGAGAAAGAAAAAGAGAGAAAGAGAGAGAGAGAGAGAGAGAGAGAGAGAGAGAGGGGGGGGGGGGAGCAAAAGGGCGGGACAGAAATAAAAAGAAATAAAATGTATTTCATGTATTTCAGCATAATGATCTCTTTGCACTATTTAGAGCTTCAGATAGAGTCGTCTCTGTAATCAGATGACAATTTTCAATACTTTGACAGTCGCCTATGGCCTTGAGATTAGTAATCTGCACTAAAATTGTATGTAATACCGGGGATAATTCTTATTCATGCACTGCTGGTTTATCAGGAGTGCTGATCAGTCAAAAAAATTCAGCACAAGTTGAATCTACTTTGGAATAATAAACATATCGTGCGACTGGAGCAACCTGTTGTTAACTTAAAGAGAAGGTTCAGTTCTAGGAAGAGGTGAAAAATAATTTGTCAGCGTTATCATTGTTATTATGCAAGTGTGGAAGAAAATCAGAAGCTTTTCAAAATACCTTAATATTCTAAATAAGACATGTAAGAGCATAGACATCGGGGCGTCATTTTTAGGCCACATGTTCGTGTAGTCCCATATACATATTTAGGTGAACAGTGCTTGTAACTTTACCAAGACTAGGAAAAATTTCTTATCATTTTGATAATTCTAGAACCTTGCAGTACACACCAATATTGATATGATAGAAGATTTACCTTTTCTGATCGATTCTACAGTTTCTTTCACAATGCAATCGCATGACCAGAACTCAACTTCATCTTTAAGCATTTTAACTAGATAGTTTCAAGGCGATGTTATATGTAGATCCGCGAAAGATTATCTTTCAAACTAAATGGTTACACATACCTGTTTGTAGACATGTGCGTGTTTGTACAAGGGCGTGTAAATGAAGGGGGAGGTTGCCGTATCTGATAAACATGAAGATGACTCAGTGATGAATGCACACAAGCCTGAATATTCTTATGAAAAGCATGACGTCTCAAGTGTGAAATATGACCATACTCATATTAATAAAGATATTATTATCTAATCAAAAACGATGTAAAGATGTTAAAATAATTTCACGAATGTCTCACATTGGATATGGACATCATTATTAGCCGAAGTGCCAGGAAATGTAAAATCATGAAAAAAGAAATACAATAAAAAGGGCGTGCCCCCTAATCGGGTTCTAGGACACCTACCCCTGGACCTCCACCCCCGGATAACAACCCCAGTCAACTACCCCCTAGGAAAACTACCCCTAGGACAACTACCCCCTAGGACAACCACCCTCTAGGACGACTATACCCCCGGGACAACTAACCCCCGGACAGCTACCCCCAGACAACTACTCCTAGGACAAGTACCCCCGGACAAATACCCCCAGACAGCTACCCCCAAACGACAACTATCCAGATCAACTACCCCCTGGTTAACTAGCCTAGGGGTAGTTGTCTGGCGGGTAGTTGTCTGGGGGTAGTTGTCCTAGGGGGTAGTTGTCCTAGGGGGTAGTTGTCCTAGGGGGTAGTTGTCTGAGGGGTAGTTGTCCGGGGGTAGTTTTCCTGGGGATGGTCGTCCTAGGAGTGGTTGCCCTAGTGGGTAGTTGTCTGAGGGGTAGTTGTCCGGGGGTAGTTTTCCTGGGGATAGTCGTCCTAGGAGTGGTTACCCTAGTGGGTAGTTGTCCTAGGGGGTATTTGTCCTAGGGGATAGTTGACTGGGGATGGTTTTCCAGGGGGTGGATGTCCAGGGGGTAGATGTCCTGTCCGGATACGCCCTAATCGAAATGCAGAAGAAGAAGAAAAAACCTGAGAGAGAGAGAGAGAGAGAGAGAGAGAGGGGGGGGGGGGAGGAGACTCTCAACACCCTCAACTTAATTAGCAGCCATGTCATCCGCCGAATAAGACCGGTTCCATCCTGCGATGGCAACACCCCAACTATTTATTGGCTTACAAAGCGTACACTACGCAATTGCAACTCAAGACGTCTCTAAAGTTTATGTTGAATCTAAATATGAAAATTATGCTGACGTGCGCTCATAAATAAACGAATAAATAAAATAATATCCATCAGACGATATAGATAAACCAAACACGAACAGATGGACAACGAGCAGAAACGCCTAATACTTAGCAAAGTTAGAAGGGATGTTAGCGTAAATGAGTCATGATCTAAAAATAGTACATGTGAACACCTGTGGTTTGTTATACATTGTGTCTTGAAATCAAGACCTTCCATAAGAGAATTCAAATGTAGAAAATGTATAAATAGAGGGCTGATGGCATCATGAAAGCCATAGTCAGTGTTCATACTGATCACAAGCAACCAAAGACCACTCCAAGCTGATATCATCAATCTCATCATGGCAGGCCGAATCATTCTCAGCAGACTCTTGGTCATCCTGGTCCTTGCTGCTGTTTGTGCCGCACAGTATCGTAAGTACGAACGCGTTTTAATCATCAGTATGGGGAACTTTGGATACTTCGTAATCGTTTTATTTTAAATTGCAATTTTTTCGAAAGATAACACTGGCACTGATTATTGTGCGATCATTCAGTGTATACAGTTTATATATGTAGGAGACGAGTAAGATGCGTGTACGTTTACTATATTTAATAAAGAACTGTATTTTTTTTTTTTAGATGGTCTTCCTCCACCACCCCGAGATAATGACACCGCTAACCACTCACACCAAAGCAACGGCACCGGCCCACCTCCACTAAGGCCAGGTAATGGAACCGGTAACCACTCACACCCAAACAACGGTTCTGGCCCTCCTCCTCCTCCACCAAACAACGGTTCTTCACCTCCTCCTCCTCCACCAAACAACGGTTCGGCCCCTCCTCCTCCTCCACCAAACAACGGTTCTGGTCCTCCTCCTCATCCACCAAACAACGGTTCTGCCCCTCCTCCTCCTCCACCAAACAACGGTTCTGGCCCTCCTCCTCCTCCACCAAACAACGGTTCTGGCC